CTCAGACAGTTTAGCCATTCCTATTGGTCGAGAGCCCGTCACGTGGCCGGTATTAAACGGATGATAAAGACATGGCTAGCTGGTCTTAAACACTTTTCCAGTGTCACAATAAAATGTGGACTCCTAAAAATCCAGTGCCTCTTATCGTTTCATTGGTTGAACGTTCACAATCCTCACGTAGGCATGCGCAACACTACCAGGGAGTTAGAATTTTATAGTTCTAAATTCAAAACGCAACGCGCCAGGTGCGTTCTGCGCGACATCGCGTAGAACATGATACGCGCGCGTCAATTTCCATAAAAGGGTTGTTTTCATCTTACTCGCCAGCTGAACACTCCATTATTTTGCAGGAGGGATGTTTCAAAAAGCATAAAGTGAATTTGTTGAACAAAATCGGGATGTTTTGAACGAATTATATGATTTTTTTTTACCGAAAAGGTATTTATGAATGGGAATAAATATGTACTCCGTCGGTATTTATCACTCTGTTTAATACCACTTAGAGTCTGGGTGCTGATAATTACCCTCGCCTCCGGCTCGGGTAATTATCAGCACCCAGACTCTAAGTGGTATTAAACAGAGTGATAAAAACCTCCGGAGCACACATTTATTCCCTTATTTATAATAAATAACAGGTTCTTATATAGCGCTTTTAACTAAATAATAACAGGTTCTTATATAGCACTTTTAACTAAGATCAAATTGCTTTACCGGTACATAATTATTACCCCTGCTCATTGGGCCAATGAAACATTCCACAAACCATCTCAGCTCCATGCTGTCATTTGGTGCAAGGCTAATCAACCACAATAACCATCTCTGCCCTCACAGGTACCCATTTACTTCTGGGTGGGGAGAAGCAATGAGTGACAAAGTGCCTTGCCCAAGGACACACGCAACATAATTATTATTATTATTATTATTATTATTTATTCGGCCAAAACATTCAAAATACAAACATGTACATGTACATACAATGTAAGAAATGTCATACATCAAGGACAGTCAAGATGAAATATAAATTGTGTAACAAATACCAATCGAAAAGAATAGATGTGTATAGGTACAGTAGGTAAGAATGAGATGGGGAAGAAATGGGGGTGGGGATGAGGAATGTATAGAAGGGGAGCGGATTGGGGAAGAGTGGAAGTGGGAGGGAGTTCAACAAGCAGAGTAAAGACAATCCAATCTAAGATGGCCAGGATGAACAAAAGTGAAAACACTGTGACTCAAAAGCCTGTTCATCCAATCCTAGGTTGGTAACATGCAATAACTTTAAAATATAACTATTAAATACAATTCATAAATACCTCAGACAGTTTAGCCATTCCTATTGGTCGAGAGCCCGTCACGTGGCCGGTATTAAACGGATGATAAAGACATGGCTAGCTGGTCTTAAACACTTTTCCAGTGTCACAATAAAATATGGACTCCTAAAAATCCAGTGCCTCTTATCGTTTCATTGGTTGAACGTTCACAATCCTCACGTAGGCATGCGCAACACTACCAGGGAGTTAGAATTTTATAGTTCTAAATTCAAAACGCAACGCGCCAGGTGCGTTCTGCGCGACATCGCGTAGAACATGATACGCGCGCGTCAATCTCCATAAAAGGGTTGTTTTCATCTTACTCGCCAGCTGAACACTCCATTATTTTGCAGGAGGGATGTTTCAAAAAGCATAAAGTGAATTTGTTGAACAAAATCGGGATGTTTTGAACGAATTATATGATTTTTTTTTACCGAAAAGGTATTTATGAATGGGAATAAATATGTACTCCGTCGGTATTTATCACTCTGTTTAATACCACTTAGAGTCTGGGTGCTGATAATTACCCTCGCCTCCGGCTCGGGTAATTATCAGCACCCAGACTCTAAGTGGTATTAAACAGAGTGATAAAAACCTCCGGAGCACACATTTATTCCCTTAGTAATATGAGAAGTTAAAAATAAATCTGGAAATTAAAAATGCTATAATAATGGAGGGTAATATATATGAATAAATAAATGGGTAAATAAATATCTGCTAAACATGTAAATGAATTTAAATGAAAATAAAAAAGTAGCATAAGAAACACAATAAGTGATAAACAAGTAAGCAATGAAACATACAAACGAGTTAAAAAAGCATCAAAACAAAGACAAGAACAATCAGATAAAACCATACAGAAAAAACATAACAGATACCGTACACATGCAAACAGACAAGAAAAATTACAATTATACGAACAGTCTAATACATGTACAAACGTTACACACAAAAAAACATATTAACAAAAAAAAAAAAAAAAAAAAAAAAAAAAAAAACGACAAACAGCCCAACACCCCAACAAACAAACAAACAAACAAACCAAAAGTTAATTAGAGAACTCTATACGAAAAAAAATTAAATGATTCATGAAGGAAAGAAAACTGACTGGTATAATTTGAAATGAATATTAGTTGAGCAAAGAAATCTGACCGAACCAGGACCCGAACCCGAGACCCCTGGACTACCGTTCCAGCGCTGGAACAGCAATACAGAGGTCCCGTTCCCGAATCCCGACTCGGCCAAACCTCCCCGCTCAACCAATATCCAAAATACAATTTAGATCAAAAGCAACAAATAGACAAAACATTACAGGCATTTAACCATCAATAAAATGAGCACATAATTCACGATTCATAAATACCTCAGACAGTTTAGCCATTCCTATTGGTCGAGAGCCCGTCACGTGGCCGGTATTAAACGGATGATAAAGACATGGCTAGCTGGTCTTAAACACTTTTCCAGTGTCACAATAAAATGTGGACTCCTAAAAATCCAGTGCCTCTTATCGTTTCATTGGTTGAACGTTCACAATCCTCACGTAGGCATGCGCAACACTACCATGGAGTTAGAATTTTATAGTTCTAAATTCAAAACGCAACGCGCCAGGTGCGTTCTGCGCGACATCGCATAGAACATGATACGCGCGCGTCAATCTCCATAAAAGGGATGTTTTCATCTTACTCGCCAGCTGAACACTCCATTATTTTGCAGGAGGGATAATTCAAAAACCATAAAGTGAATTTGTTGAACAAAATCGGGATGTTTTGAACGAATTATATGATTTTTTTTTACCGAAAAGGTATTTATGAATGGGAATAAATATGTACTCCGTCGGTATTTATCACTCTGTTTAATACCACTTAGAGTCTGGGTGCTGATAATTACCCTCGCCTCCGGCTCGGGTAATTATCAGCTCCCAGACTCTAAGTGGTATTAAACAGAGTGATAAAAACCTCCGGAGCACACATTTATTCCCTTATTAAAACACTGAAATGAATCAAGTATCAATGAGTCCTTAACGTGGATTGGGAGATTACTCCATATACGAGGAAAAGCATCCACCCCAGGATGGACTCGAACCCACCTTCAGAATTACCCGCTGACCTCGAATTCAATGCCCCAGACTAGGCAACGCAATATTCGCAGGGTGCGCCTATATTTTGAGTCCAAAACATAACACCAAAAAAAAGCCACTCAATCAGTATAAGATTTTGACTTTCATCAATTTTTATTCATGGAGAAGTACGACGCACTCTTCGAATACATAACGCATTCCTCACATCGATATTCCAACTGTTCTCTTGTAAACTCTAAAGCAGTATTAAAAACATTCAAGTTTTTCTTAATAACTATCAAATTATGCTAAATAACTCCATTGTTTATAGACCCGATAACAGAAATATTACATATTTAAAATGCACCTTTCTAACTCATGAGCAATCTGTTTCAGAAATCACCAGTTTCTGATTATCATTTCATGAAAACAGAACAAACTTGGTTTCTACATTTAAATACATTTTACACACAAATGTTTTTTACATTGAAACGTTACAGCAAATGAACTTTATCAATCCAAAGAGAATCTAGAATTAAACTTATTTTCTACAAGAAAACATCCTTCATATAACAGGGATTCAGGTTGGCATAGCGGTACTTTTCTCACCTTTAACGGCTGTGACCCAGGTTCGAATCCCGCCTGGGCAAACATGTGGGGATTGGGTTTTCAGTCCCTGCCTGATTCAGTGGGTTTTCCCAGAATATTCTTCTGGGGTTTTCCTCCCACCTCTATTACTGTAATTTCTTCTCACTGTCTCCTCTCTACAGGTTTCTTCAGGCTTGTGAGCTACAGTGCCTAGGGCGCATTTGAGGAATCCTTGGTTTCATTACCAGAAATAAATAATAATAATAACAATACTACAAAACAGCCAACAAACAGCATTCTTATGCAGAGTACTTAGATGTCCAGCAGCTGATTTCACGAAACTTTATGCAATGACGTAAGTCCAATTGCTCCACAATTTATTGCGCAAGTTGTGCAACACAACATTTCAGTTATGACAATTTCATGAAAGATTCATTACGTGCAAGTCTTTGACTTGTGAAACAATTGATGGTGTAACTTGCGCTGTCATTTTAGGTGGCGTAAGTTGTGGCGTTGCGACTGAAAATGACCTATTTTACTAGCAAATCGTGATAGTCGTGGAGCCTGTCATTGCACAACTTATCAAGGTTGACACAAGACACTCACAGCTTTGTGTTTGAAATAATTGAATTGCTGTTTTACTCGTGACAGAGTTTTAGAGCTGCCGCACGATTCCGAAGAAAATCGGACAAAAGCATTTTCAAAATGGCGGGCTGAGGTGATTGAATGACTTTTTCATGAATGAACAAAATCATACACAAACAGCTGTCGTAAATGATGTTATTATCTTCGTCAAAGATGTCAAACAATGCGCAGCTACGCCAAGTTTCGTGAATCAATCGTAAGTTTATTGCTCAGCTGCACAATAAATTTGTTGCGCAAGTCGTATGTATGGTGTAAGTTACGAACTGTTTTTTTTTCGTGAAATTGGCTGCTGCAGTTTCTACTACTCAATTTATATAAAATTCAAATGTGTAAATGGGGCTTAGATGATATCTCTGTGAGGGATGTCTTTATCAGGGAGGGGTTTTGGGGGGGTTTTTTTGGTTGTTTTTTTTTTTCAAATTAATTAGTGTTTTATTGACTCAAATCAGATAGACCATCCCGGAGGAGAACATGATTTGGTTGGCGTCTTGCATGGCGTTGATCGCCGCGTCAATCTCGCCCGGTGTGAACTTGTCGTCTTGGTTGTCCTTGGCCAAAGCCTTCTTGACTTCGGCCAGGGGTACCGACTCCGCCTGCGACGTGAAGATCTTGGCGATGGTGGCGCGGAATTTCTTCAACCTGTTTACGAGTAAAAACAAGAGGAATTTTACTTGTTAAGACAGTAAAAATGATTCAACCTTTTGGTGCTGCTGCGGAGAGGGGGGGGGGGCAGGAGGGCGCGGGCTTCATTTGACACTGCGGTACTCTCCACTGAAACCATGGAGTGAAATGGGATAAGTTTACTTACAGCACCATTTTCAAAACAGTCGTCTTCATTCATTCTATGGTTTAGTAACTGCTTAATTGTTACAACAACAAAAAGGAAAAAAAAAACAATTGCGAGTGCACAATAAGCTCTGGCGAAAAATGCGACGCTGATGGCACATATGGAACACCATACTCTTGGTAAATTTTTGGGATATTTCCTCCTTCTGGACATCGTCCAACCACTTCACAAAATGGCGTCCACCTTGTTCAAGGAAGATGTTGCACAGCGCAAGTGCGAGTGCACAATAATCTCTGGCCGTGTTGAAAGAAGTCTTGCATGAAAGTCTTGCATGGAATCGATCAAAATTATAGTTGTAAGGAACCCCTAAGCTGGGAGAAAATAGGTAGTGGCAATTGGTACTCCCTCAGAGGATAGAAAAAAATACGAGAGCACAATAATCTCTGGTCGTGTTGCAAGAAGTCTTGCATGACAGTCTTGCATGAAATCGATCAAAATGATCCCTGCCAGAGCTGAAAAATGCGACGCTGAAAAATGCAACGCCGATGGCAAATATGGAACACCATACTTTAAGTCAATTTTCCAGGGACAGACAAACAGACCAACCGACTGACCGACCACCAAGTGACATTTAAAGGCTCCTCCCGGAGCTTAAAAATGAACCGACAAATTTAAGAACTTACTTGTCTTCAGAAATGTCCACTTCCATTGGCATAGCTGTGGAGGACTGCGTTCCACTTGGAGACCTCATTGTCACTGAAAAGCCAAGCAAAATGCTAAGTTAAAGCTGTTGTCCACTCTCTGTTAGTATATTATATTTTATCCACGGTTTATGAAAACATAAAGATTTGAAACAAATGGCCGGTCTGGTAAATAATATGGTTCGTTGCCATAGTTACCTTCAGGGTCGTCCTCATCCTCCTCGTAACTGTCGAAGTCATAAGGGTCAAAGCCTTCCTCTCCCTCCTTGGGACGATCCTTCTTCTGCTTCTTACTGGGGGACCTCTTCTTCTTCCTACAAGGAAAACCCAAATTAAAAAGACTCCACAATCTCTACAAGTAGCGCAAGGATTTGGCAGGATTAAGAAAGGCAGGGCCTAGTCAGTATTTTTTATGAGTGGGCTTGTGAAACCCTGTTGAAGGACTCGAGTCGAGTCAAGTCATTTGCTCGCAGCGACTCAAGTGAAGTTGAGTCATTTATCCTTAGGGACTCGAGTCGAGTCGAGTCACCAAAAATTGTGACTCGAGTCGAACCCGAGTCGAGACACTGACTCGTGTCAATACAACTCTGCCATGCAGTAAACAAAGGGGATTTACTGAAAGCAAATATCGAAGTGGTTTGAAGGGTGGTGTAGAGGAAGGGTAAAACAACACTTTATAAAATCTTAAATTTTCAAACGACAGCGCCAACTCACGTTTTTCGTCTCTGTTCCTGTTCTTCGTCCTCCTCTTCCATCTCCTCGTCGCTGTCATCATTCCGTCGACGTTTCTTCTCTTTCTCCAGGACCTTCTTGAAGATGGCAAACTGGATCAACTCGATGGCGGACTCAGCGTCCTGGAGGTCCACGGTCTTGCTGAGGCGGGCCTTGGCGTGAGCCGTGGCCAAACGGATCAGAGTCTCCAGCGAACGCGCCGTTACGGGCTGGGTCTGTTAACAGAAAAATACCATTAGCATTGTAATCAAAGTCTTGAATGAGCAAATCTTAAGTCATTTAGTGTCGAGTCAACAGACTGATGAATTAACCCCCGCCGCACGATGTTAATCACAGTTGAAATTTAAATTCCCTAACCCACCTCAATCCTCCAAAATCCGTATGGCGGTTTAGAAGGATTTTGAAGGATTGAGGATGAATGGTGTTTCAGAACCATGAGGATTTTGGAAGATTGAGGATGAATGGTGTTTGAGAAACATAAGGATTTCGGAGGATTGAGAATGAATGGTGTTGAAGCACATGAAGATTTTGGAGGATTGAGGATAAATGCATTATTTTGAGGCAGGACTGTCTGATGATTTTGAAGGACTGCGGCGATGGGTATCCTTCGTTTGAACCTCAGTGTAAAACTTTGGAGGACTTTGAGGATTGAGGATGAATGGTGTTTGAAGCACATGAGGATTCTGGAGGATTGAGGATGAATGGTATTTGAAAAGGATGATGATTTTGGCGGATTGAGGGTGAATGCATTTTTTTTTAGGCAGGACTGTCTTATGATTTTGAAGAAATGAGGCGCTGGGTAGCCTTTATTTGAACTTAAGTGCAAAACTTTGGAGGATTTTGGAGGATTGAGGATGAATGGTGTTTGATGATTCTGGAGGATTGAGGATGAATGGTATTTGAAAAGGAGGATTTGGGAGGATTGAGGATGAATGCATTTTTTGAGGCAGGACTGTCTGACGATTTTGAAGGACTGTAGCGCTGGGTATCCTTCATTTGACCATAAGTGCAAAATTTTGGAGGATTGAGGATGGTTCGTAGCAAAAACGTGCCTAGGGGGTATAGGGCTGTCCTACATGCGTACACAAAATCCGACACGTGTACGCGCGTCTGAGAACTTACTCTAGCCACGTTGTTGGCGCTCTGTTCCTGACTGCGTAACTTGGAGTATTCGTCGGCAATGCAGTCGGCTGCTTCTCTGGTGAGGACTGGTTTGATCATCTTAGCAATGTGGATGTACTTGCGCATGAACTCCATACTGACAAACTTCTCCCTGAGATGACAAATTTAATGATTTGGAAAGACTAAGAGACACGAAATCCAAAAGGAGGAAAAGCTGACGTTTTAGCTGCCAATCCTGGGGTGCGTTCCACTTAAGTGAACAACGCATAAAATGACACATACAGTTTCCCACAGGCTATACAAAAAAAAAAAGATCACAAATGTTGGAACATTTGCTTCAAGATACAGTCCATCATTTGCAGCTATCCAAAAAGTAACTGACGTAATTATTGTTGAAAAGCTTACTTGGTTTAAAGATAGTAATGGGACTGAACTCCCCATGCTATATTTACCTCTTTCGGTTGCCATGGAGAAGGTTGTCGTGTTTATCGTAGACTTGCGTTTCTTCGTCAGCCTTGTCGTCCATGAGTGGGTCCTGAGTAGCGAGATAGTCCACGGAGCTGCCAAGAGGCAAGGCTGCAAAAAAGGTGTTTTTCTTAATTATTAAATAAACAAAGAATCTTTTTACCAGTAGATTGGAAGCGTGCAATGAAAGTACTACGTGTAAAAAAAAACGTGTCCCACATTTGATCCTAAATAACTCTGTTGTTTACCAATGGAAGAATTAAACCACAATTTCAGATCATGTAAACAAGGCATAACAATTTTATGGAGCGAGTTTCAACAGCTTTCTGCAAGAGCGTGAGATTTAAATGCCATACAAAATAATACTCGCTTTCAGAATGTCGATACAGCGTTAGAGACGGTGGCGGAAGACGCGTGCTTAAGGCCAAAAGCTTCTGAAAGACTGCAAGATCACCCCTGATGTCATTGCACATCTCCTCGATCGTGTGTTGCGCCAAACGATCGAGGTGTGCAATGACATCAGGGGTGATCCTGCATTCCTTCAGAAGCTTTCGGCCGCAGCATGCGCCTTCCGCCACCGTCTCTAACGTTGTATCGAAATTGGAGGCGCCAAGTCGAAAGTGGCAGATTCTGAAAGTGAGTATGGCGTTTAAATCTCACCGTTTTGTTTTGGACACGTAGTATATACTGCATTGCTTGTGGGACGGTTTGCGCTACAAATTGCGATCACGAGTTGTGGGTAAAGTGTCCCAAAATATGGCGCCAACTTAATATTCTCCGTTCAAAAACTCCACTCAGGCTTCTTCAAGAAACGTAAATTTTATATAATCTTACCGTCGCCATCTTGTTCTCCGGGGGTTCGATAGCGGTGCATTCGCAGCACATGGTCGGAAATCTTGCGATCATGGTCCGGATCCATCTAAAACAAATTTAATTTAGCTGGAGGGTTAAGATTATTAAAACCAAGGTTCTTAAAAACAAGTTACCCCCAGCACTTTTCTGATCAAACCTTTTGAATCCACAAAAATCCTAAACTGTGGAATATAAAACTGCACATTTTCTAAACAAATTTAAAAGTAACAGTTGCTGGGATACAAAGTCCTAAATCTTTCAAAAACCAATAAATCCCTTCAAAATGAATTTGGTGATGTTTGGGACACAGGAAAACACTCCACAATCTAAGTCCTTTTGAGATTAAAAGCTTTACCCACAAAAGCGCACAATAATCGTGCCGCATAATGTGCTGTTAAGTTATCCGTTCTTACCGTATCCAAGACGATAAAGATGAGGTCAAAACGTGACAGCAGTGAGTCCTGTAGTCCGATGTTCTCCATGGGAGTCTTGTACTCGTCATACTGAAGGAAAAAAAGGAATTTTCAAAAATCAATATTTTCGCAAATCAGCCATAAAAACATACATTTTATCGACAATATTAGACAAACTTTCATTAGAAAGTTGTTTCTTGTTAATTCTGACTTACCCTTCCATAGACTGGGTTGGCGGCCGCCAACACGCTGCAGCGTGCGTTCAGCTTGGCATGGATACCGGCTTTTGCGATGGTAACCCGCCCCTGCTCCATCACCTCGTGAATAGCTGTACGATCCTGGTCGCTCATCTGAAAAAGAAAAACAAATCCAATTTAAAAATGATTGTGATTGTTGCATTCACATTATGTCATAATTCTTATGTCCGTAAAATTTAAAGTTCTTTTTCAACTGTATCAAACTCCAGAACACTTTTATATCCACTTAATCACTTGTGAACACGAGTTACCAGACATGCAAACTTTCATTTTTTCCCAATTTTAGTTATTTTTCATTTTCTTGCAATAATTTCCCTTTTTCAGACATTATTGCTTAAAACCTCCATAAAAACCCAACTTATGCGCTCAAAGTGCATAAAACCCATGTACTACAGGGTGATATCATTATATCTAAGCACTACAACAAGGACAATCTTTCAAGTTATAACGCTCTGTACTGCATCTCATCTAGAATCGTACCTTGTCGAATTCGTCGATGCAAACCACGCCCCTATCAGCCAACACCATGGCGCCGGCCTCCAGGCGACGTTCACCGGTTTCCTGATCAGTGGTAACCGCGGCAGTCAGACCTACACCGGAGGAACCACGCCCCGTTGTCGTGATGGCGCGCGGGGCCGTGTGCAGTACATACCTGGTTTTATAAAAGTACAAAATTGTCAAAACTGATAGCAAAACAAAAGAAGAAATATAAAAATAAACAGCCTCAGTTTTCGAAAACTAGATGGTTTTTGACAATTTGACACATTTTCTTACCTAAGCATCTGCGATTTTGCCGTGGAGGGGTCGCCAATGAGCAGAACGTTGATATCTCTGAAATGCAAATTTTAAAATAGGATTTAATTTTAAGATACTTTTAAAGATGTACTTTCCATACCATTTTTTTTAGTGTAACCTCCATTTTCTTTTTATAATTGCTATTTTTCTAGCAATACGAAAGTTATTCAAATGTTACGTGCCGATAAATGTGACATTTAATGCATGCAAAAAAAATTCAGTAAAGGTATAAATAGTTTACAAATTTCAAATTATTTACAACACAACAACTGGTTCCCACCTCCTACCAGTATCTATAACATAGAAACTGGGCACCAGTGAGCCTCAAGAGTAGATTTTTGTTGTAGAGCACGACCATTACGTTTGTTGTAGAGCACGACCATTACAATAAAGTTGTTTAAGGTTTAGTAGAAAGTTTTGCTTAAAAAATTTAAAGGGGAAAACATTTTGCAACCTGACACCACTTTTTTCTTCATATATCATCTCAATGAAGGTCAGTCATTGGAAAAAATGATGATAAGACATGAATCTGGGACTGAGAAACATTTCCAATTTTGTTAGGAAAATACTTAAAAATGTTCATGACTCTCCGTAGACTTTGTACACAACTGCTGAAGTGGCGTCAGGTTGCAACAATTTTTCCTTTAAAAGCTTACAAAAAGTGAGACACATTCACTTGCAGTAGCTTGGTTTTTGCATGACAGGAATTTTTTTCTTATTGACAAATGCTGTACTCAGCAGCTCCACATTTCAACAACAACAACAACAACAACAGCAAATGGCACACCCTCTTAGTCTGGTTCCGTTCTCCAAGACCTTTTCCACACCGCCCAGCAGCATGCACAGCGTGGCCTTCTTAATGTACTCGTGTCCGTGGATAGAGGGCGCCAGAGAGTGCGACAGGACCTCAAACGCATCCTGCTTCTTGTTCCGGCCGAACTTCCGGATCTTGACGACGTCTTCCGCCGAGAACATGGGCGCAATTTCTTTGCTGAGGAGCGAGATGTTGTTGGCCAGCATGATGGTCCTGTAGTACAGAAAAACGTATCGATGTTGTAAATAGCGCCCTCGTATGACAATGTGGTGTCAAGCATCGCCCAACTGAGCGGTCTAATTTGGTTCTTTTATCAAACAAGCATTTTTTTCAAGTGCGGAGTGAAAAACGACCAACTGACGTCACAGCCGAATATCACAGTGCTGCTCAAGCAGAATATAGCTTTAAGCAGAATATATCACTTAGCAAGTTGATGGGCTAAGCAGGAATCAACTGAGAACCAGCCATAAACCATATGGGTTGCATGGAAGTTTGGCTGGTAGCCTGTTTTTTTCTAAGCACATAATTTCTGTGCTTCGCAGATTTCTTTGCCTACCAGCTCTGTGAACTCGAACCCAGATTTGATAGTCGGGCTTTATTTAATTGCCACAGTAAAACCCACTAGTGACATCATGAGAATGCGGGTTCCTATTGAAACCAGGAGGCAACTGTGATTGTGTCCTTGAGCAGGATATGTTACAACAATAACTTCTCTCTATCCATATATACAACAGGCAATGGCATTCCACAGAATTTGATATTTCATTGTAAGCTTTGCCTTTTGATCAGTCATCCTTCCCTACAGTCTGATTGGCCAAACTCATAATAATGCAGTACCTATGCGCTCATGAATATTCAAATTAACTTGACCCTGAGTCAAAGTTCATCAAAGCAGACTTAGCTTCACAGCTTTGACCAGTTTCTGACTCAATATCAAAAATACAGACAGTGTTTGAAATACACAAGCTCAGGAATTTATTTACCTAAAGGTTCCACTGGTGTAACTTCCTTTTTTGTTAGGCAGACAGCGAAGTGTTCCGACAATCTGTACTCTGTCCCCCGGCTACATTTTAAAAGGAAAAGAAAAAAAAGTTGTTTAAAACAGAAAAAGCAAAAGCTTTCGTTGTCAAAGACTGTCCAACGGAGTCAATGCAGTGATTTATTTTGAAAATTCGGGCTCCATCGTAATCAACGCGCTACGGAGCACCATGGTCCAAAGGTTAGTGTTCGACTCATGTGCCACTGTGGGGTGGAACCCGACAGGTAACATTGCTTGTGTTCTTGGGCAAGACACTTTACTACAATTGCCTTATTCCACCCAGGAGTATATATGGGTACCTGTGAAGGTGGAGACCAGATTGTGCTGATCTTGAGCTGCTGCAGAAAAACAAAATGCTCTCATGACAAGACGGAGGCAGCGGAACAGTTTTCAAACTGGGGTGGGGGGGGGGGGAACCAAAAAGGGGTACTTGCTCAGAAAAAGGGGCACCTTCCGTCGGTGTGAAAGGGGAGGAAAAGAATATGGTCCCTTTCATGTCGTTATAAACCTATACGACGAAGAACAAAATTATGAATACGTGGTCCATCTTGCTCTTTGTGTTTTCTTTTACCTAGTTATGTAGAGAGACCATTCTTTTCATTGCGAGAGGGGCACTGTTGCTTTTGATGGCCAGTTCAGTGACCATTTTATTCGTGTGAAGAGCACTATTATTTTTTAGGGACCAGTTTTCCATCTTAATTGAAAGGGGGCATAATTTAAATGTTGCGAGCGGTGTCACTAATAGTGCTTTTGAGGGGCACTTTTCAATCTCGAGAAGTTATCGCGAGAGGAGCACTATTGTTTTAGATGGCCAAAGGGTTGGAGGTGACCACAAATTCGTAGCCTTGTGGAGACTCACACACAATACGGAACAAAACATTGTAAAGGTCTCCACAGGGCAATTTCTATAGATGAATAGGTCTCCACAAGGTTTTCACGAAATAGATATATGGGTTTTACTCAAAAACTAGGAATTTCCAAGGTGGGTTGATCTGTCGCAAATGGAAGAGTTTTAGAAAAGGGATAATAATTCCAAATTTCAGCCAAGGAAACTAATTCTGGTTAAAATAAGAGCATTTTGAAAATTCACTTTCAAAATTGAACACTTTACTACACAAAGAGAACAAAGAGAACAAAGAAATGTCTCCACAAGGATACACATTTTGGGGTGTGTGTGGGGGAGTGGCTGGGGATGGGTGGTGGGGAGTGGCTGGCTGGGGATGGGTGGTTGGGAGTGGCTGGGGATGGGTGGTGGGGGGAGGTGGGGTTGGGGGATTAGGAAGTGCAGGAATTGTGGTCTACCTTGCAGTTGTCCACGAGGTCATTGTCGGTGATGATGTCCACTGACCGGGGCAGCTGACCGGCTGGGGCCTTCTCCGGCATCTCCTGAATGGTCAGCGTCTGGTGGTCTTTGTACGTGGACAGGCCGTATTCCGTCTCTAACGGATTGTCCTGGTCATCCTGTGAACGTACATCAAATGTTGACCTCAAGTGACCACAGTCCATTATTCAAATACTTAAAGCTATAGTCCATCATTTGCAGCCATCCGAAACGTAACTGGCTTAATTATTGTTGAAAAACAAACTTGGTTGAAAGATAGTAAGGGAACTAAACTCCCAGTGAAATTATTCTTTCTGGCAAGCTGTCATTTTGAAGTAATCAACGAAAGAAGGCATTTCCAACGGTGATTCTTAAGAAGTACCGTAGGAAAATTTAAATTAGTAGTTCGTTTTGTTATTCAGCGTAGCGCGCACAAGTATTGGAACGACGCACACGCGCGGTTGTTATAATTTGTCGGAACAGTGCGCGACGTCGCGTATAGTTGCAATTCAAAACAATTCAAAACATGATTCAGTAACTTTTGATTTGAAATTGAGATCTAAGAATGTTGTTTTTCTCGGAATGTACAGCTGAAGCTTAGCTGAAACTTCATCAGGTTAGTTGCTCAGTATCCTTCATTAGATTTTGAACTCTTTTGTTGCTTCAAACGAACAAAATGCACAAATTACAAATGATGGACTGTAGCTTTAAATATCAAGAGTTTTTGATCTCTGACCTTTGTTTGGTAGCCTGAGCTGCTTGGGAATTCATCAAGCAAAAGACTATTCAATATTTGAATTATAAATATTTATATATTAAAATGTCTTGACCTCTGACCTTTGTTGGGTAGACGGAGCTGCTAGGGAACGCGTCCAGTGAGGTCAAGTCGGTGTACTTTCGCTCCATCGTCTTCTTGGTGGCAGGGCAGTAGTGGACACTGCGGACGACCTTGGGTCTGACCAGTGAACCTGCAACATACAGTTTGACAATTCAAGAAATATATTTACAAATATTAAAGGCATATAGGATCATTTGCTATTCGTGCGTTTTTTTTATTACCATTAATACCATCACTCGAAATCAAAAGAATGTTGTTCAAAAACTAAAGTTTCAGCTCACTGCACATTACACTTTTTGAAGAAAAAAAAAACAGTGAAAAAAACCATGGCCAACCTTTTGATCACAAAACATGGATTTCGTCAATAGTCAAAAATGGATTTCGTCAAACCCTTTTTTCCCCCAAAAATCAGTCAATTGACTGATCGTTGGAAATCACCTACATTTCTTGATTTTTCTAAATGACAGCAAGCCAGACGGAATAACTTCACCGAGTGTTTAGTTCCCGTAAGATATTTAATCCAAGTAAAATTTTTGATAATAATATGTTAGATTGGTTTGACAAATGCAAATGATCCTATATGCCTTTAAAAGTTTATCAAGAGGAGACAAGTTACCACTGGCAAAAGTTGGGACCATTGCCATAGTTGGAACCACTGCCATAGTTTGGAACACTGCCATAGTTGGGACCACTGCAATAGTTGGGACCACTGCAATAGTTGGGACCACTGCAATAGTTGGGCCCTTTGCAATAGTTGGGACCATTGCCATAGTCGGGACCTTTGAAATTGTTGGGACCTTTGCCATAGTTCGGACCATTGCCATAGTTAGGACCTTTGCTACAGTTGGGACCACTCCCATATTCGGGACCTTTGCCATAGTTGGGACCCTTGCCATAGTTTGGACCTTTGCCATAGTTGGTACCATTGCCATTGTAGGGGCCACTGCCATAGTTAGGACCACTGCCATAGTTGGGACCTTTGCCATAGTTGGGACCAGTGCCATAGTTGGGACCAGAGCCAAAGTTTGGACCTTTGCCATTGTTGGGACCACTGTCATAGTTAGGACCTTTACCATAGTTGGGACCACTGCCATAGTTGGGGCGTAACATGATACACACATGTACACCCTGCATCAGTAACGGCCGTATTTAAACTCACATTTGGTCACAATGCCTTCCACGCACACGAGGTTCCCGATGTGACGGGCCGACAGGGACCGCGGAGTGACGTGCTTGGAGCCAAAACTGCCCTCGAAGCCCACGAAGAATTCCTCGTGTTCCTTGCCGTATGCCGTATCGGCCTGGGTCACGAATTCCTTCAGAGCTTGCTGGCAGGCGATCAGTTCCTCGTGAGCATTGGTCAGAAGCCTGCAAAACAAAGTTCACCAAAGTTGGAATATTACAAACAATTAAGACCAAATTAATAAAGGAATTGCACTTTTACTACTTTCAGATTCAATTTAGGTTTTTGCACTGCAAAGCAGTTGTCATATTTTAGCTAGTAGGCCTGGGACGGTGTGAGTTGCAATGCGATGGCTGTTTTTTGTACAATCTCTTAACCGTTTGTCAACCGATGTTAGCGAGCAACCATACAGTCTGGGTGAATCCACTGTAACAAGAAATATCTGTAGCATTGCAACTCACACGCCTGAGCGACAAGATCGGTTTGCATAAACACAACGTCACAGCTCTGGGGTAAACGTTTTCTACGTTCAAAATGGCTGCCATCCACAGCGTTTTACGAGCGTGTATGGACTCCAGAAAGATGCCTAAATTTCTCGAAAAAGTGGATATAAGGACACCTAAACAACCTGGAGGAAAGAAGCCAAGACATATTAGAAATAGAATAGGCCTACACAACCGTTTGTAAAGAATTGCAATTTTTTTCGGACGAACTCCTCAGTAGTTTAAGGAATCTGGAGTGTGGCCAGAGGTACAGCGCAGCAATACCACAGCCACACTAGCGGGACGCTATAGTACGTGGGGTTAATACGTGGGTTAACTACGACGTTCATGACGTTTAATTTAGGCCCTATGCAAATTACAATAAGCAATATGATCATATCAATCACACATTATTTCGTACCGATGAGCCCTCTTTGGTGCTTTCCTGCGGAGATCATTGATGTTGACGACTAGGCGCTGACGATTTTTGGTGATCATGTCTTTCACTTTTTCATTGTAGATTCCTTGATCAGCCTGCAATTGCAACACAACAATGACAATGAATCGAACATCAACATGTCGAATGAGTGTACAAATGAACAATTATCATTAAAGGCATAAAGTAAATTGCACGGCATATTTTTCAGAAACTGAATTAAGATAAATGTTCCATTTAATTGGTGAAGATAAAGGAACATGCTGTGGTAGTACTAATATAAAGGAATAAAACAATAAACATCAGAATCATCATCGGCAATCGACTTGTCGAACGACGTCTGAATGTCGCCATATTTAAATGTCCGATGTTGTTGTTAAAACCTTTAAAAGAACGTAATTTTCACTCACATTGTCATCTAAAAAGTCCAGATACTCTCTCTGGTAATCCCTCAGTTGCTGATCAACATCGGTATCCATCTCGAATACTTTTTCACGGTGAAATTCTCACAAAAAAAGCAAGAAAATCAAGCCAAATGTTATCAAGCTGACTTTCGCGGCGAACACTGTCCAGTCTGTTTTCGAGATCAAATTCGCGCGAAATCGAGCACGTGAATGTGGCTCGTAGTCTCTTCTACAGTCTACAATACCTCCACACGCATCTCTGTTGCGTGAGCCGCATGCGATTGGCCGGTTAAATGAACTGGAACATAAGGCTAACTTTCCCGGGGCATTTAATTCTTGGAGTGGTTCTACAATCCCATTGGTGGATTGTAGCTCCGCCTATTTTGCTTGGTGTCCACCGTGTGAAAACAAGAGTGCATAAGCTGATCACCAGCGACCTTAATTGATTCATATGCTAATCGTAAACTCTGAACCAATCAAAGGTCGCTTTCATCTGTTGTCATACAAACACCGCGCGTTTGCATATTAAAGCATGTCAAGTCTAGTGGGTGGTTGGAATTATTTTTTTACTCACTTACTTCCGGGTACGTTTTCCTGATCCTGTCTGTAATTCATGACAGTTACGACATCATGCATCGCGTGAGGTGGGCTTGGACGAGTGCCGTAGAAATATGACATTGCTTCCTGGTTTTGGCATTGAAACACATTCTAAATGATGAACGGAGAATGAAGTTGTAGTTTAGAAGGCGTCAACAAAGTTACAAAACATGGTTGGCTAGACAAAGTTGTCAAATTACGGGCCTAATTAAACAGCACTTCGACAAAATGGCGTTTTCGTTTAGTGCAATGGCTTTCAAGTTCTTTTGTATTGTGTACCTGTCAGCGGCATTGGCATTGCAGACCACATCGGCAGAGGTATGTTTGATTATTTATAGGAAATGAGGATTGTTAGTCTGTTTTTATTGAAAATGTAAATGGTTAGGGTCGACTATTATTTTCTTTACTTCTTTATGTAGTTTTGTTTTTAAATACAGCCTGTGCACGTGCACTTGTCGGCTTTAGGTATTCACCGTGTGCTTTTCAACCCAATTCATAATTGACTTAGAGAATTAACAGATTGAAATTAAAATTAGTGTGATATATTCCAGAAATAATATATCATGTATATATATATATATATATTTTTTTTAAATCTTATTTTTTTTTCAGTAGGCCTACATGTTTAGTCATTTCACATCCACAAATTCTGTATTATTTTCAAGGTATTTTAGTAGTAAAGCCAAGTAGCTCCAAGATTGGAGCTTTTTTTACTCGCACTTAAATTTTTCTTCCGCGCAAACTTCCCCCTGCTTCACATGCACCTTAAACTTCACCTCAGCGTTAACATCCAGACATGCCAGAAGTGGACTTTGCTGAGTACCCGCGTAGATGTAGATGAATTCTTTTCATTTAATATAAAATAAATTCTATTTTCCACTTTGTTGTAATTTGTATATTAAATATTTACTAATCCGCCACTACCTTCATATTATGTTGTAAATTTCAAGTGAAGTTCATGTACATTATTGCCTCCTTGGCCTTTCCAAAATAAAGCTAAATAAATTCATAAGGTCCTGTAAGAAAGATAAAAAAAAACCAGTTTCTCTTCCACAGCCTGCTTCTTTTTTTTACAGGCCGCCTCCTTTTTTTTTATAATGCATATATTTGCAATATTTTTTGCACATATGTAGGCTATTGTCAGTAAGGCCAAAAAAAAAAATAAGTCGGTCTCTGGTCAGCGCGCGCGTCGATTTTAATCATGCGCGTCGATCTTTTTTTTTCCAAAATGTTCCGCGGAAGCTCTAACAGCGCCCTCTATTTCCGCACCTCCTCAATTTTTTTTACCAAAGAGCACCAAGGAATGGGAAATTGCACCAAGGCAAATGATCGAAAGCACCAAGGCAAATTATGGAGGACACCAATGTACATGAGGACACCAAAAAAAGCAAAATAGTACCCCACCTTGTCTGTACAATCCAAGCTTGAAGGAAAAAAAAAAAGCCAAAAAAAAAAAAATAAGCCGCGTGGCCGCTTTAATTCCGGAACTTTGGTCTGACCAGAGACCGAATATTTTTTTGGGGGGCCTAAAATGTCTTTTTATTTGTTTCCAACGAAATGGTACATATACAGGGTGTATAAATCAAAGGAAACCCAGATGTAAATTATGTAAATTATAAAAAAATGTCTATTTCAAATAAGTTATAGATCATGTAAATCACCAATGTGTGTCCTCTTTCCAATGATACCATTGTGTGTCAGTGGCCATGGATGACTGAGCATTCATTGTTATTCTGTCAAGGGTCAAAACCTGTACTGGGCCAAGTTTTACCTGGTTAAGATTGCTGGCTGATTTGTTAATGCAAAGGTTGAAATGGACTAGACTTCGTGCAGAGCTTTGTGTGGAAAGAGGTGGTGGCCACATTGAAGGCATTGGGCCATGAGGGGTTAACTTCAACAATGAGAGTGGTTAAATCACTGAGTCAAAATTGAGTAAATTGTTTTAAAGGGAAAATACAACATTTGCAAACATCAAAAAATAAAACTACCAAATCATTTTGAAATACCTTGCTGGACTGTTAGTGAATGACAGTGTAAAGCATCCTGTAAAATCATGGCACCTGGTATACTGTCATTTTCAAGAAAAGTGGTATTTTTGTATCAATTTCCAACGCTGATCGGCCGATCAGCGTTGGAAAAAACTGGCTTTTTTTCAAATACTGGCCCCAGTTGACCATCGCACTTGTTTGCAATCGATTACACACCTATGAACGGGTACAAGCCAGCTAGACTGTTCCCTGACCTTACAATTCCCCAATATATGTAAACTGCTTTGTTTCTTCTTAAATGGAGTCAGGGAACCAGACTACAGGAAAATGATTTTTTTTCTTGGTTTTTATAGCATTTTCGAACCCAAAACCTCAAAAAAGTCAGTGTAACTATATTTGCTATATATTTCCAACCCCTCAATTCCATCCATTTCTGAAAATTACAGCAAAAGCAAATGATGTATATTCCCTTTAAAGAAAAGGATGTCTTCTTTCTTTAAATTAAGCTACTCCACATGCCCAGAATACCAGTTACCCTTTTGCACAAACTTGGCCCAGTACAGGTTTTGACCCTCGACAGAATAACCATGAAAGCTCAGTCATCTGCGGCCACAGACACACAATCAAGGTGTCATTGGAAAAAGGACTCATTAATGACTCCCATGATCTTTAATTTATTTGACAAAAAACTTATTAGATTTTTACATAATTTACATTTACATCTAGGTTTTCTTTTTTTTAATACACCCAGTATATTGTAATTTAGAGTGTCTTTTTATTTGTTTCCAACAAAATTGGAGCTTTGTAGAAAAAGTTATGGCTTCTTCAGACACAATTTTGGAGCAGCAAAATAATTGATAACATTGAGGAATCCATCTGCCATCTTGGTAAAAAAAAGTGGCTGCCTCCTTAATTTTTTTCAAAAAGGCAGAGAAACTACTTTTACTTGGCCTACTCATAGTTTTCTAATCAAATTTTTCTAAAACATTCTTCTTTTGAATACAGGAAAACTGTTATGATTTTGACATATGTCAAACCACAACGCCCACAGCTCCGACATCAGCACCCACCACTTTGAGCATGACAGCAAATGAAACAATGCCACCAACCACCGACAGAACCACGGTAGCACTTTTAACGACAAACAATGGCACTGATGTAAATGCCACCACCGTGAACATTATGCCGCGGTCATCTACCCCATCAGCCCCCATGGGACATTGCTGCAAGTGTCACAGCAAGTTTTGCAAGAAATGTTTCGGGCCCGGGGAAAAGGAGTGTACGCAGTGCGGGGTCGAATACATAATGGACGAATCTGAGGGAAAGCAGAAATGTTTGCCCTGCAACACGGCCTGCTACAACGCCTGCATACACATGGCCGACATATGTGGCTGCATGCATAGTCAACGTAATTGTCAGTTCTGTCCCGCGAAGAATAATACACAGAAACACGGCAGTTGCAGAGAAAAGACCCTTTTGGAAATTCTCACAATCGGAGGAGTGGTTGGCATAGGTTGTGGGGTGGTTTTGATCGTCGTTGTCATCGTCGTCCTCTGTTGTCATTTCTGTCGGAAGAGACCGCCGAAACCTGTGGTAAGTGTCCCAGCACAAACGGCCACAATTTAAAGCCCCTGTTACACCCCAACTGCGGCTATGGCCCCAACTGAGGTTGAGGTGTCCCAACTAAAGTTTGGACAGTCCCAGCTATATAGTTGGGACGATCCTAACTGTAGTTGGGACATTGTGGCAATTGGGTTGTAACACCCCTTCTGGCTTAACTGCAAAGTCGCAATTTGTCCTTGTGAATATTTTGTAGGTGTATCAGTGGCGCAGCAAGGGGGCCTGGGGGCATATATGCCCCCCCCCCCACAAATTCCCAGTACCCTCCCTCCGGCCCAGGCACCCCCTTCCCCCAACGAAAATTCAAAATTTGCCGCTAGCCAAGTAACTGAGTTTTTAAGTAGGTTTTTGAGTAATTAAACGGAAGAGGAATATATTAGATGTCCATTTTTGATGTCCCTAGTACGGCTGTATGAAATGTGAATAAATTGATAGAAAAAAGAGTGCCCTCTAGCGTCAAAAGGGGTCCAGCTGAAATTTCTCTGTAACTTCCCGTCGGCAGAGTCCAAGATGGCGTCCAGATTATTTTCACCGATAAAAATTGAGGTCTCAGTTCACATTCCTGAAATCAAGTTTCCATTTAACCTTTTCCAACAGAAAGTTAACCCATGCGATCTAATTTCAAAGTGTGAGGTAAAATTTGAGTTGTTCGGGAAAAATGGAAGAAAATTCATCATTTTTAAAAAAAATGATGTTGAAAGTTTGGACATTTTCTTGTTTTTCTGTCCCTCCCCTGATTTGTAGAAGAAAGATTATAGAAGTCCTGATACGTTTGTGCAGGTAAAGCAATCAATTACCGTTGCATGTTAAGCATCATTACTTTGTTTTTTGTTCAAATGTTATAACTGATTGCATGTAATCTGTTTTAAAGGCACGTAAGAACAATTGCAGTTCCCGGAAACCTACCCACTGATTTATAGAGTACCCGCACATGATTTGTCATTTGTGCATTTTTTTTCTTCGTTTGAAGCAACAAAAGTGTTCGAAAGAATTGGAAGAGCTTAACAACTTACCTGATGAAGTTTCAGATAGCTCAGTGAATGCTGTATATTCTGAGAAAACAATAATTCTAGGATCTCGATTTCAAAATCAAAAGGTGCTGAGAAAATGTTTTGAAATGCACCAGAATTTAACGTCTGGGACACGTCCTCATTCAGCCTATTGCAGCTACACGATGTCGCGCACTGAACCAGCGAATTATAGCAACCGCGCGCGTGTGCATCGTGTCAATGCTTGCACGCGCTTTCGCCTATTAATTAAAAATGAACTACTAATGGAAATTTCAAAAAATGCATCTTTAGACGCATCGTTGGAAATGATCTTTTTGATTGTTTTCTTCAAAATGACAGCTTGCCAGAAAGAATACATGTAGTTTCACAGGGAGTTTAGTCCCATTACTATCTTTAAACCAAGTATGCTTTTCAATAAATAAATTTGTCAGTTACTTTTTGGATAGCTGCAAGTGATGGACTGTACCTTTAACAATGAATTCCTTGCTCAGAGTGAAGATAGGACTGATATTAAATAACCTGTGAAATTATTCTTCCTGGAATGGTATCTCTCAGAAGAAAACAACCATTCAAGATAGTTTCCGAAAGTGTGTCTGTGGGCACATTTTTGTTGAGTGTGCCAGCAGTGGAATCCAGTTACGAGACCCCAACAATTGTGCATACATTTTTTGTCTGTTTGTTGAGTATCCACTGAGCTGAACCTTCAACAAGTTGAACCCTTCTTAAGATTTTGAGCATTTTTTTGTGCTTTAAAGGGAAAAAAGGATGTAGCCTACAAAAAGCAAATGATCTTATGTGCCTTAAAAAGTTTTATGCGTTGTACATGTACTTGTGCAGATACCGTGTTTCGTTGTTCATATTCTGTTGTTCTGTTGATGTTTGTTTGTGCTGCTGCTGCTGTTGTTTGTTGCTGTTTGTTGTTGTTCTTCCCAAACTTGCTGTCTTTGTTTTTGTTATGTCTTTTGTTCCCATCATTCTTCTGTTTTGGGTCTAACGCATGATGACATCCACGCATTCATATTTATGTTGTTTATACAAGGGCGGATCCAGAGAGGTACAATACTGCCGGGGGGGGGGGGGGGGGGGAACTAGTCTAGGTTTCCCCCAACTCTCCTTTTCAGGCTGTTTAAGGGGTACTTGTGCACGGAGCCCACAGGATCAAACGCTAAGCTCTCTATTTTTGTTGATTTGTCAAGTTCAGACCCCTCCAGTCAGTAAGCAGTTTGCAACATTTCCTCCATTTTCATTTTTTCATGAAATTGAATACAGTTTCCTTTTTGCTAATATTCCCAATAAAAAAAATTATGCTTTGTCAAAGTGGTGGGAGAAATCTGAGATTTCAAAATCCGGTTATCCTAAAATTCAAACCGAATTTAAAAAAACAACTGGATTTTATAATCCCACTACTAATTTGCCAACAGTCTTTGCAGTTGAGTCCTCATCGGAATCGGACAAAGTTTTACTGAAATTTGAGACAGTATTCTTTGGAAACTGAAACAAACTTGGTTTCAACGCTGTTTGCTAACCAAACTCAATGACTAATTCATATGCTTTCTGTAGCTGGAGCCGCGCCGACCGTTCGCGGACCTCAAGGCATCCGATGAAGAACATAACGTGGCTTTTGAAAATCAGGTAAAGAAAAACAAGTGTTTATTAAAAGCTCGGCATACTTACCCCTCCCCCCTTTTTCCACTAATAACTCCGCCCATTTTTTTGTACATTGATGATATCTGTTTTACATAGCAAAAAAAATGATTTATGCTGCTTTTTTTTTAGGTGGGGGGAAATATTGCATTCAGTTGTTTATTTCTTTAGATTTTTTTTGCACATAATTTTTTTTTGCACAAAGAGAATGCTAAAAAAAAAGCCTGATTAGTAAAACTTACTTTGAAAACGAATTCTATTAACTGTTCAAACAGCAACTGAATCAATAGTTGTTCAAATTTTAATTTGACTCAGTATGTCAAGGTGTGCCCGAAATGTCTAAATTTGAGATAAATGTCCGCAGTTTCCGTAAATTAATGGTCACACTTTCCTCAATCTACAGTGGCAAGCAATTTATAAAAACTCTTTGTTCATTCAAATTTCCTTTAAAAAAATGTACATATGAATACTAACTGATGCCTTTTACTAAAAAAACATTTACATGAAGTGATTGGCAAAATTTTAAAAACACAGGTTTTTTTTTTTTTTTAATTAATAAGGACTCAATGGTAAATTGTTTCATAAAGAACCTCAATCCTTTTAATTTTGTTGGGGATCACAAATTTCCTTTTAATTACCTAAGTCCGAGTGTACATGTATATCAGTGAATTGTATATATTTGCGCTTCTTTCACGTTCAGAATGTTGATGATGATGTATACGGGAACGTGGACAACCACGGTAATATAATGATGTACGACAGGCCCGAGCACGAGGAACGGTCGCCTAGTAGGATTGCACCAGCGCCACCTGTACCCGTTGATGTCCATTCGGAACCAGACTTTGGTGATGTGTACGAGAATACAGTCGTTGGGGAGCCCGCAGCCAGACCACCCATGCCGCCACCGAAACCATCCCCTGAGGTGCCGAGCGACTTTGGCGGGATGTACGGAAACACCGAGATTCCGTCGGTAGGTGCCGCCAAGTTTCAGCTGAAAAAGATTACGGACGAAGAACCGAAATTGCCGCCTTTGCCGCAGAAACTTGTGCAAGAGCCTCCTCAGCCCCCGTCCGTACCCACGAGGCCTTGGGATTTTGCACCAAATCGCGACGACTTGCCCACACGGCCGATAAGTCCGCCTCAGCGCTCCGACTCCGAGCAGGAGGACTTGCCAATGCGCGCTCCACCCCCACCGCCGACCAAATTTAGCTCCCTCAGGACCGACGTTATGCCACCTAGAATGGCCCTTCCCACACCGAGCACGAAGTCCGCCAGTCTTCCACCCCATCCAGTTCTAGGCCCCACCTTCCAAGGGGCTCCGGTCCCCCTGCCCAAGACACCGATCAAGAAGCAGAAGAAGAAGCCACTTACTCCTAAAAAGATAGGTTAGTCCATTTTTATGCATATTTTCTTCGGTGGCCAAGTTTAAAAAAAATTTTTTTTTTCTTTCCTTACCCTCCAAAGGGGAATTTATTATTATTTTTTGTTTACATACACACAAAAACAAAATATAAATGAAATTGTACCATAAATTAAAGGGAATATACATCATTTGCTTTTGCTGTAATTTTCAGAAATGGATGGAATTGGGGGGTTGGAAATATAAAGCAAATATAGTTACACTGACTTTTTTGAGGTTTTGGGTTCGAAAATGCTATAAAAACCAAGAAAAACGATCATTTTCCTGTAGTCTGGTTCCCTGACTCCATATAAGAAAAAAAAGAGCAGTTTACATACATTGGGGAATTGTAAGGTCAGGAAACCAGTCTAGCTGGCTCGTACCCATTCATAGGTTTGTAATCGATTGCAAACAAGTGCGATGGTCAATTGGGGCCAGTATTTGAAAAAAAAGCCAGTTGTTTCCAACGCTGATCGGCCGATCAGCGTTGGAAATTGATAAAAAAATACCACTTTTCTTGAAAATGACAGTATACCAGGTGCTATGATTTTACAGGATGCTTTACACTGTCATTCACTAACAGTCCAGCAAGGTATTTCAAAATGATTTGGTAGTTTTATTTTTTGATGTTTGCAAATGTTGTATTTTCCCTTTAATCAATCTGCACAATGCTTTCAAGAATTTGCCATTGAGATAAAAACGTATGCACAGTATTATTTCCAAAGGCTATCTTTTTTTCCACATTGTAATTAAATCTGACTAAATCCTGATCAAGTGTAGGCACTTGATGTTTAAATCTACAGTTAAAAATCATTTCCTTCAATAAAATAATACAGAGGTTCAAAAGCAGATTAGGATGATCAGTATTGTACCCAAATACAATGAATCCAAACCTTTTAAAACACGTTCACAATCATAGGCCTACAGAACAAAAGGAGCAAGAATCATCATCCACAATTTTCATTTTGAAAAGTCTAACATTTGTCCTTAACAAATCTGTATTAATTTTGTACTGAAAGATTGTGATTTTAAATTCCTTACAAGCTCTAAAAGGCGAAGAATAAATCTTACTCCAGTCCTCTTTGTGAATGTCAAATTCACGATTAAATTTAGTTTTTTTTGTAAGTTGCCCTGCACATACTCTTCAATGTATTCAATAATTTTCTCTCCTAATGAGTTCTCAATTTGTCTTTAAACAGTAAAATCTACTTTTTTCCCCCTATTTTAAACTATTTCCCTATTTTATTTGGGGTTGCATTTGCCCCCATAACGCACAAAAGATACCTGAATTATTATCGGGCCAAAAATAATTCAAAATGTGTACAGTTAATTTTCCATAACTAAACGTGGGCAGAATTGTTTTGTTCGAAGTCTCACTCAAACATAACTAACTATTTCTGTATTGCTAAAAAAAAACCCAGCAATTTTTATAACCAAATTGGGGTTGAACTTGAAAACAGCATGCGGAGAGTACGGAAACTTTCAATGTTGGCATTATGTTTAACACTAATAATAACTAGAGTTTGAGGACAAACACACGGTGTTGGGCTAGAGGTTTGCCTTTTTCACATTGTTGATTGTTGTTGATTGTTGTCGTTGATTGTTAATGTAGATTGTTGATGTTGATTGTTGGTTATGTTTATGTTGATTGTTGATTGATAATATTGATGTTGATTGTCGATTGAATTTGACGGTGGTTGTTCATGTCGATTGTTGATAATTGATTGGTGTTGTTGATTAACGATTATTGATGTTGATTGTTGATGATTGTTGATGTTGGTTGTCGATGTTGATTTTGATTTTTTGTTGATGTTGATTGTTGATGTTGATGTTGATGTTGATTGTTGATTGTTGATGTTAATAATGATTGTTGATTGTGGCTGTTGATTGTTGATGTTGTTGTTAATGTTGATTGTTGATGTTGGTTGTTGATGTTGATTGTTGATGTTGATGTTGATTGTTGATGTTGTTTGTTGATGTTGTTTGTTGATGTTAATGTTGATTGTTGATTGTTGATGTTGATTGTTGATGTTGCTGTTGATTGTTGATGTTGATGTTGATTGTTGATGTTGATTGTTTATGTTAATGTTTATGTTGATTGTTGATTGTTGATGTTGATGTTGAGGATTGAGGGTTTTGAAAAATAGCGCGTGGAGTAATTATACAGAGGATAGTTAAAAAGAGTCAGGTGAGGATCTGCACGCGCGTATGCTGCTGTACTGTAAACTTATCTAGTACAACTGTTACAAAAACCCATTAAATAGCTCATATCTTGTTGATTGTTGATGTTGATGTTGAGGATTGAGGGTTTTGAAAAATAGCGCGTGGAGTAATTATACAGAGGATAGTTAAAAAGAGTCAGGTGAGGATCTGCACGCGCGTATGCTGCTGTACTGTAAACTTATATAGTACAACTGTTACAAAAACCCATTAAATAGCTCATATCTCTAAAAGTAAAAATCGCACACCATTGGCGCAATTCAAGATATTGCTCGCCATACCCTCTTAACCCCAATGCGCATATTTTTAGAAAAAGCGCCCAATTTGAAAAAGCGCCCAATTGGGCGCTTTTACCAGACCAATGTTTGAGTATCATATGGGGGGAAGTTCCCTTTTACGCAATCGCGGCACACTGTTTTTCGGGATTTTCCCTTTGTACGCAATTATCCCCATTTGCTGTACACACAATGGACGTGGCATTAAATGAGTGTTTCAATGCGTAGGCGTGTTCAACTTCAAACTTCAAGGGGGCTGCAGGGCATCTTCTAGTAAATTTATTGTAACGAAACCTTGGGAAGTTTTAGACCTATTATTAAAGTGCCATTTAAAGCACAAAACTGGATTATATCTCTGACGGTTGATTTTTTAACAATTTTCAAAGGAAAAGAGGTATTTTCATTGTAACTTCCCGTCTGATGACGTAATCATTTTTTTTTCGTGCACAGGTCTTTTCTGCATTAAGGTCATTATGTATATTAATTTAGAAGCAATTACCGCAAATTTCGCCACAGACATCAACTGAAAATGCGTTTTGGAAATGTTTTAACCTGCCGCTAGAGGGCGCTCGAACACTTGATGGCGTCACCGAACATTTTTTTGGAAAGATCAACCCATCCACAGGCTAACATCGTTGAAAGCAAGTTCATATCTTTTTCCACTTTTGAATTATTAGGCACTTCCGGTTTCGACCGAAGGAAGGGTCATGTGATTTTACGCACACAAGATTAATTGAAGAGCATGTATTATCATGTCGATTCCCGCAAAATTCAAGTTTCGGTCTCTCACGGTTGATTTTTTATTGAATTTCAAAGATTAAATTTATTATTTTTGGAAGTGACGTCACGTGACCCATGATGACGTCATAATGACGTAATTGCAAAAAAGCACATCTTCAGTGGGTTGTGCATTCATGTATTGACAATTAAAGTTCATATTACTTTTCATGTTGACAAACAGTTCCGGAGAAGAAATGTGTCTTGAAGAATAATAATAAAAAAAAAAAAAATAATAATAGTAAATTCTAACAAAAACAATAGGTGTTGGGCTCAGGCCCAACACCTAATAATACTAATAACGGAGTCTTATAACGCACGTATAGATCTACCAACAATTAGGTACTCAAGGCGCTGGAAATTATGTCTATTATTAAAGAAGAGAAAATAAAGTATATGAGAAATATGAGACCCATTATATGTAGCACCTTATAAGGGTTGACAAGTTGCTGCGGCGCATATTGCAGCCACTGCCAGAAACACCGGGGCAAACCCAAACAGGGCCACGGAGTAAGTGTTCCATAGGCCCTAGGCACCAGTGTTCCCTATCAGTAGCAGCACCAATTGCATGTTGACGCTATACTAAGCAAGCCGGCCACACTCTGGTAATTTCGTAGGCCCTAAATTTTTTCGGAAACCCCCTTTTTTTGTGTACATGTAGGCCCAATGCTATATGCTTTCTGTGCCTGTTCAATAATCCAGGCCTGCACGTACCGGTACGTGCAACCTGACAAAGGAATCCCCAGAAGTGGTGGGCGAATACAAGAATGAAAGGAAATTCCATTGAAAATATTGTCAGGGTCACTCAATGCATCTCCACGATCATTTTACATCATTAAAACACATTCCGTGCTAACTTTACAATTAAGTGCATGCAATTTCAGGGATAAAATTTCAAAGGAAAACAATTCCAAAGAGGTGTGATCAATCCTTACAGATATCACAATGTTCAAAACCAGTCACTTGGAGCAAGTTTTTAAAAACTGGTATTTAGGGCTCATTGGAAAGGACATTGCATACAAGCTTTCCAATGATGTATAGAATATGGGAATCGGTCAAAATCTGACAGAGTTATACAGGGTGAGTAAAAAAAAAGCGGAACCCAAACCCCGAAAACTATATTTCATATTTAAACAATTACCGGCATAAGCACCATAAATAATAATGACTGGAAAGCCAATTTCAGAAACTACTTGTACGCATACCGGTATGTAGATGAAATGAAAATATGACTGAAATTGCTCAATCCGTTCAAAAAATATCACCATTTAAACGCAATGACTTGAAAACCTGTTTGTCCGAAAAAAGGAATTTATTGTGTGTTCTGACCGTTTGGAACAACAAAGAAAATGACACAGGATACTTGTTTTAACAACTGTAGTACACAATATCTTTATTAACCTTATAGGCAATTGATATGATTTATAAAATCCACTTTTTTTCAAAAGACAGGCCTTCAAAAGGACTTTGTTGAATATTTTTTTACTTTAAAGGGAATATACAACATTTGCAAACATCGAAAAATAAAACTACCAAGTTTTTGCGAAATACCTTAATAGGATGTTGGTAAATGACAGTCTAAAGCATCCTGTAAAATTATAGCGCCTGGTATACTGTCATTTTCAAGAAAAGTGGTATTTTTGTATCAATTTCCAACGCTGATCGGCCGATCAGCGTTGGAAACAACTGGCTTTTTTTCAAATACTGGCCCCAA